AGTGACAGAGCCCTGGAACAGGCTGCCCAGAGAGGGTGTGGAGTCTCCTTCTCTGGAGACATTCAAACCCCCCTGGACACGTTCCTATGTGATGTGCTCTGGGTGCCCCTGCTCTGGCAGGGGGGTTGGGCTGGATGATCTTTCTGAGGTCCCTTCAACCCCTAGGATTCTATGATTCTGTGATTCTGTGGGCGTCCCTCGGTCGCTTGCCCACCTCGCGCCTAAAATAGCTCTTTATCTGTGTCATTTATCGGTACGTACGTGCATCCCGAGGCTGGCAGAGCCCGTGGCACGCTGCCCTGCGTGCCAGCGCTGAGCATCACCTCGGCGTCATCTCCAGGGCCCTGGCAGAGTCAACAGTGATGTAAAGAGCAAACAAACGGATAACTCAATCCCAGCTCATGCAAAGCACGCCCGTATCAAATGGTGCGTGTTTTGAAACCTGCCAGGTGCCTGTAAAATCGTGCTGAGGAAGGACCAACCTGCCTCTGCGTCAGAGTCGCGCAGGGCCAGGTCTGTCCGAGGCGTGAGCCCTGGGTTTGGCTGGGTTTGCTGGGGTGCAGGAGAACCCCAGCCTGGCCCCAGCTCTCTGGTCTCCAGTGGACACTCAGCAGCTTTCCTTTAGCCCCCGGTGAGCCACAGGCGTGCGAGGCCCTGAGGACAGTGGCCCAGGTTTTGAGGCTGCAGGATGAGCCTCCCGCTGCAGGCATTGTGCTCTAGAATGTGGATTTTCTATCCACTTTTCAGCTCTTCATGCCCTGGAGGTCAAGTGAAAAATATTATTATTTTGTTTAAGGCAAACAAATGTCTGGCTGGGATGGAGGCAGACCAAAATATCACATTAAGAAATAATCTTGGCTGGCTAGGATAGGTTTTCATCTCCCCTTCCCCTTGAGGGAGCACCAGCCTTTTTCCTGTCATGGTTGGGGATCTTTCTCCTTAGCAGCTCCTGCCCTACAAAGAACTGTACTTTTCAGCATCCTGTTCCTTCCAGGCTCTTTCGTAGCCTATTTAAGATGCATCTTGAGTCTTTTACCTGGTGTAAAGTGCTGTTCTGCCACTAATTCTGCAAAGACACAATTTGTAGGAAAGTTATTTGAAAAATACTGCTCATTTTTAGCAGTTATCTTCTGATGTGTTTAACACAGCATGGTGTAAAATGTTTAGTAGGTAATGCATCATTTTAGGTACATGACTCAAAGACTTGACTTCAAAAAGATCTCAGAACTTAGTGTGTTTCACATGGAAATGCCTGATCTGTTGCCAGGTCTGCCTGGTGCTGAGCTAATGATCTCCATCTTTGGGCCTCCTATTTAGCAGTGCTCCTTTTTTAAAAAAATAAAATAAAATTGTATTTTTCAATTTCATTAGAACATTTCTTCTTGTTGATATATGTGAGGGAGGGAGAAGAAACATGAGTAACTGATAGGAACTACTGGAATGGCTTTGTCTAAAGTTATTGACCATGATATATCTGAATTTAAGGAAGGAAAGGCCAAGTAAGGGAGAAGACATTCTTTATGTTTGTTTCCTTACCCACCAATAAAGTTTTAAAAGATGTTCATGACCTTGGTGTTTTTTTTTAGTTCAAGAGAAAACGAATGCTGTTGTCTGGAAGACGGACCCAGGGAATTTCCTACAGTACTTTATTGCTTGGTCTTCAAGCAATTACAAGTGCAGAGGTGTTTTTAAATCAGGGCAATCTCCTTGTTTGGCTCTTAACAGTCAACAGTTTGCTTCCTTGTTAATGATTTCATTTATTGAGTCAGTTAAAATACAAGCATGTTTTATTTTTTATTTGAAAGAAAAAAAAGTTTACAACCAGGAAAGAAGCTGTTGCTTCCAGAGGGATTTGCTCTCAGTGTTGCTCCCCCTGCCCCTTTTTTGGTCGGCTGGAAGAGCAGAAAAGGTCCTCCCAGTTTTCTCTACTTGCACTCAGGACCAGCACCAACTTGTTTCAAAGCAGGCAAGGAAACAAAAGGAGAGGTGCTCAGATCCAAATCGGAGCTGACAGTGGCACCTTGCTGTGCTCCTGGCCGGGGTGCTCTCAACAAAACCACCCATTTTAAAATTCCTGACATCTGAGAGATGGAGCTTACTGAAATCACTTCAGGTGCCTCCTCCTACCAGCTGCTTCATCTGTGCCCGGAACGGGGCAACACGGGGCGACTGTGACGGGAATTACCAGGAAATGTCCGTAAAACCTGCACTTGAGAAAATGCAGAGGGTGTGTTTGCCTTTCTCAGAGGAAAACTGCTGTTTGATGTTCTGCTCTTATCTTTGGCAGTTACTACACAAGTGCTTGGGAACTGGCCGCTGATGATGGGTGCAGGGGAAGGGGGAAGAAACAGGCTGGCAACGGGACATGACCCGTATTTGCGGTCACATACGTGTACTTCTGCTTGCTCTCCAGTGTGAGGGCAGCAGCTGGGGCTGGACACCCTCCTGGGGTCACACACCCCCAGCCCTTGAAGCCCTGTGGCCAGAAAGTCAACTCACGATGGGCAAAATACACAGCACAGGTGTATCCACAATGGGCTTTGGGCAAGGACAAAGGTCTGAGCTTAAGTGTAGCCCCTGAGCAAAGGGGAGGTAACCTGAAGGAGGGGTGACCCCAAGGAGAGGAGACCCCAGGGAAGGAAGACCTCCAGGGAGGGGTCATGCCAAGGAGGGGAGACCTCAAGGAGGGGTGGCCCCAAGGAGAAAATGCCCCAGTGAGTGATGCCAAGAGGGCTTCACGCAGCCCTTTTCCTGCAGTGTGATCCCAGGTTCCAGCAGGATTCTCATTTATTTATGGCTATGATTATATCTATAGAGAGGCTGCTACTTTTCCAATATAACAGGCTTAATTAACACAGAGAAGACAAAAATCTTGCTATCCTTGTACAGAGCACCAAGCATTCCAAGACTTTGCCTTGCACAGATCTGGGGGTCAATGCCCAGAGACCTTAGCATGTTATTTTAAAGTTTGTGTTGTTCTTACACGTGGATCCTGTTGCTGATGAGAATGAGGATTCAGACGTAGCAGTGGATGCATTTACAAGAGCAGGGAGAAGGAGAAAACCAAATTATTTTCCATAAGTTGGCACAGCCAGTGCTCTGATGCTTGTGTTGAGTTCCAGCCTGTCTCCTACATCCCAGACACTCTGAATATCCATGGAACTAGTGAATGCATTCTGAGCACAAGCACAGCCAAACTGGGGGTTTCCTTTTGTGCTCTTGAAAAATAAAGCACAAAATTTTCAGCAAGATTTTGCTCTTGGTTTTGGGCAAGGAGTGTCCCAGTGTCCTCTGCCTGTGCCAGGAGAGCTCGGGGTGGGCTCCAGCCTGGGCAGGGGCTACTGTCTCCTGAGAGTCAATGACCCTGTTGTTGTGAGAGCTCTGCTTTTCAAATCACCTGTCCCTTACAGGACAGGTACAGCTGGAGGTTTCTGTCTCTTTTTCCTCATCCTTTTGCAGCCCTCCCTGATTTTTACTATCCTCAAAGCAAGAGGACAGTAGTCAGGCTCAGGCATGAGTGGAGGAAGAGATTCTTCCCACATTTGCTGTGGGAATGTGTTGAACCATTAAGAATTAAACATTAAGGAAACAACAGCTCTACTTCACACTACTCCCTGCCAAGTTTTGAGTGAAAATTAAGTATTATTTTCCCTGTTTTCTGAAGGGGGCAAGGAATGTAAATATCTGCTCTTTGCTCCAAAATGAAGATGAACTTTTAACTCGAGCTGCCAGCCCTGGTGGAACCCCCGGGAGAGATAAAGCACTTTGCATATTCTGCTTATCGAGGGCAGTGGGGAATGAGGAAAGGGTAAGAATAGGATGAGCCTTTCTCTGACTAATCTGGGAAGAAAACAACCATCTTGTCTCCAATCAGACTTTACCATATTTAGCATGAAGCAAGAACAAATTTTCCCTGAGTGAAAACAGTATTTCTCCACGCTCACCAGTCCTTGCCTCACTTGCCGTTGGCTGTACAGGTTGCTGGGCTTTTCCCTGATGGATTGTGGAGCACGTGGGACAGGCTGTGTGCTGTGGAGGAACAGCCTCTGGCTGGCTTGGATCCCCTTGGAAAGGGAACCCTGCCTTTGCTCTCCATCACGTCCTGGCCCTGGGTCCCAGCACGTACACAGGCTCTGTTGGCCTTGTACCAAACGCCACACTCATCAAACACCTTCTTTATTATTATTGTTATTTCTAGAAAATGATGTGAGAAAACTCTTGCAGTGGCTGAGGTTACATTCTCATCCTTCCTGGAAGTTTGCCTCTTGAATCATGTTTTTGTCCTTTGCACGACCTCAGAACAGCACTGCCACTTCTACAAAGGAGTGATGAAATTACAGCAACAAATGCTTGGTAAACAGGGTCTGTGGTGCCCTGGGGGGTGAGCAAACCTCCCCTAAAAAGCTGCTTTCTCCCTGGGCTGGGCAGCTGCATCCCAAGGACATTTAAAGGGAAATTTTCTTGCTTTCACCCCTCTCAAGCAGCAGGTGTGAGGTGTGAGGGAGCTTGATGTGATTTTATACCATGCTACCAGTGACTACCCAGGGGAGCAGGGTCCCTGTGTCCTGAGCCCTGTTCTCCTGCACTGGGGCCATTACCAAGGGTGCCCCAGGCCCGAGTCCATTGCAGGAATTCCCTGTGATCTGAATGAAACCTCAGGTTGCAGGAACTGCAAAATCCATTCCTGGTGCTGTGCAGGCCTGGGGGGGAAGGTCCTGTGCACAGCCACCCTGCAGACACCTCTTGTGCTGCTCCCCTTCTACTTGCAGCCCCAGCTACCAGGGCTCTCCCTGCTCCAGCCCTGTTTATCACCAAGGGAATTTACCAGGAGTGGGCAGTGAACCCTGGTGCTGCAGAGGGATGTGCACCTTCTGGAGCCCCTGCAGCGCAGGATGGAGCAGTGCTCTGCTGCTGTGCTCAAGGTGTGTCTGAGTCGGGTTCCTCTGGCCACTGAAAAATGCTTTCATGCCTGCAGCAGCTCCTGAAACTAGGAGGAAATGAAATACCTTCATCTGGATTAGATACTGTAACATCTCTCATCCAGCCTGTGTGAAGTTCAACTGCTTCCTTTGTTCACAAGGTGAAGGATATTTTTGTCAACTCTAGTGTTGGATGATTTATTTTTTTAAAAAAAATTCTAATAAAGGTTTGTTTATTTATTTGAAGTCTGAAAACTCTTTGTACTCTTAAAATCAGCTTTTAGCAGCTGGGCTGTTCATTAAAGGTGCTGATAGGTCATGTGTTATCACTGGTGACCTTCAAGAGCAGTAAAGGGCAGGTTTTGATCCTGAAGGTGACGGGAAAGATGAAGCTCTCCTACCAGCATCATTCCAGGCAAGGGTTCAACATGGCTCCTTTCCATATCTCTTTCTTCCAGCCATGGTATCTCAAGGATGGTTTGAGGACTTTTTCTCTCTTTTCCTTTCCCTGGTCAGTGAGTCTGACCAGAAGCAGCTCCTCCTGGCCTGTGTGTAGAAAGAGAAATGCCTGACTTAAGAGTCCTGTGAGTGTCACTGACCCGCCAAGACCTGACTTTGTAGGTGGCAAAGGCTGCTCAGAAGGCCCTTCCTCCTCGTTGTGTGTGTGTTTCTGACAAGGCTGTTGCTTGTTGGACTTGGAGCATGGTTGTGGTGGAGCTGGTGAAGAGCTGCCCTTGGCTGCTCAAGCTCTGCTGCTGGATCTCCTGGGATGCAGTGAAGGATTGGTCCAGGCACGTGTCCCACTCAGCTCTGGTTAAACACACTGGGTCAAGTTACTCCTGATCCAAATAGAAATGAAAAGAAAACCAGACCCTTAGTGTTTGTCATGGAGATTTTACACTCAGTGGATGGAAGCTGGTCTTGTCATTGAAACAGCAGAGGGGGCAGTTCTGGTGGCCAGGGGGTCTCCCTGAAGCCTTTGGACAACCCACCCTGTCCTTCTGACCGCAGCTCTTTGGGGCAGGGACCCTGCTGTCACTCCCTGTGACTGCACCTTACTCACTTTCTGTGACACAAGCAGTGGCTCATGCACCTAGAGCAGCTGTTCATGGCCACAGTGATGTTCCTCACGTAGCAGGAGGCAGAGCTCCACCTTGGCCAGGGGTGTGTGGCTTCCTTGGAGCAGGCTGCAAAAGCCTGGGGCATTCAACGTCCTGTCAAAGCTGGACAGTCCCCTCCTATAAGTGACCTATTAATTGATGATCTCTATTGTACCCTGTAAAATGACTAAAGAAAAAAGATACTGGCTGTCCTCAAAAATGATGTAGGTAAATACTGATGATGAAACAGCAGTGCCCAGCAACACTTGCTGAGTTTTACTTTGTCCGGGCAGACCACTCCTACCCTTCTGTTAATAATTACACCTAAGGAGGGAACAGTTTATGGCAGGATGATATGGAAGCAGTAGATGATGTAAAGTGAACTTGACAAAATGAAAATGGCGTTTTGTAGTTTTTTAATGTGTATCCAGCTCAAATGTATCCAGCAAAGAGGTGGAATTGATGGTCTCTTCTAATCAGTTATCTGTCTTTCCCCCAGGAATGGCCCTGCCCTGTCAGGGTTCTGGGAAGGAGGAGCAGTAATTGTGCTGATCTAGGGACAATGTGGCACAGCCCTTCCTTTGGTTTCACAGGTAGCATCACCTTAGACTAGTGTGACGTGGCTCCCTAGACCAACATCTTGAGTTTCCTGACATCAGACTTGACAACAACAAGCCAACAGTAGTTGATACTCACTGATAACAGAGCTCTCAGGGTGACACCAGAAGTGTTGTTACCTCAGAGGGGTGCCCTCTGACCCTGACCTTTGCTTCTGCAGCTTTCCCAAGAACTTGTTACCCAGTTCTGAGGAGTTTTGCTTATGTTTCACCAGAGATCCCTGGCACCACCCAGTCTCCCCAGGACTGGCTCTCCAAACGGTGTGGCTGCCCCCTCAGCCTCAGGTGCCACCCTCCTCCTCGTTTCTCACCTTCCTGTTGTCACCCTTGATTGTACATTTTCCACATTCCCCTTCTGCTTGAATCCCCTGAGAACAGCAAAATATGACATTAAGATCTTAATTGTCTTGGGCTTTTCCCGTGCAGGGTAAATGCGTTTAAACCTTTATGCTCTTGAGAATACATCATGGTTTGTGCTTGCACAGAGGCAGGAAGCCAAGCAACTGAGCTTCACTGAGAGCCTTGCTCCCAGCTCTTCCCAAGAGCCATGTCACAGCCATGGGAAGGCCACCTTGGCCCTGGCTTCACTGCCCAGGAGAAGCCTCTGAGCCTGGGTACAATGGCAGGGAGTCAGAGGGAAGGGTTTTACCACCTCAGGGATGGGGAGCTTCTGGGTAAGTGTGAACGTAAAGAATAAACTCACTGGATGAAGCTCACTCTCCATAAAACCCTACACTATGGTCCAGGTAGATGTAACACCATCCCTGGAGGGATTCCAAAGCTGTGTAGATGTGGTGCTGAGGGCCATGGGTTAGTGGTGGCCTTGGCAGGGCTGAGGTGATGGTTGGACTTGATGATCCTAAAGGGCTTTTCCAAACAGAACGATTCTGTGACTCTTTCCTCCAAGCAGCTCCTGTCTGGCTCTGTGAGCCAGGAAGTGCCCCTTAGGGGCCATCAAAGGGGTTTTCCCACCAAAGCTGCCTGTGGGACTGGAATGCTCTCTGTGTAGCTTTGCCTTCCCAACAGACAACACATATCCAGCAGCAACAGATCGAACTGCAACAAAAGCACTTCCTTTGTCCCCAGAAGCTGCTGTGCTCATGAAACAAAAAGCAAGGCCCTAATCACTGGATTTTCTGACCATCCAGAAGGAATCTTGTTTGGCTTCCTGCTCAGATTCCAGCTGGGGGTCAGGGGGGGGTTTGGTAGATGAAAAACCATTGGCAGATCTTGCTGAGGGTTTTGAGACACCAGGTGTAGCTAGAAAATGAAAGGGAGGTCAGGCCTGAGCCTCTCAATTTGGGCTCCAATAATGATAATGATTCAATTTAGTCTTCTTCAAAGAGCAGGGGGAGGGAGGACGGAGAAGATGGTTTGATCACAGGATTCCCATCAGCCAGGTCAGAACCTGAGGCTCTGCAGAGGCAGCAGGTCAGCGAGAGGACAGGACAGGCTGTGCAGGGCTGCAGTTACCTGCAGGGCTGCACCTGGTGGGCACGGGCACTGGCTTGATGTGGGACACAGCACAGGGCACTTGGAGCTGAGTCTCCACCGTGTATTTATACCCGAGAAGCTTTGGCACTTGTTCAGTTACACCCTGGGGCTGCGTTTGTTCATCCCTCGCTCCAGCCACGGGGGCACCAGCATCTCCCACTGGTTCCTGCGGGCAGGAAAACCTTGTGTAGCTGCCAGCAACCTCCGAGGGGAAGAGCCTCAGCAGAAGGGACAGCGAGGCTGGTAACAGCTCTGCACCGCACAACCAGCCGTGCCCCGCACCGGCTTCGGGACGGGCGGGGGGTGCGGGGCAGCGCCCGCGGGCACATCCCTGCCCCGCAGCAGCCCTGGGAACGAACAGGGCTGCAGGACCTCCCGGCAGCAGGGCCGGGCTGCCTGCCCCGCACCTTCCAGCGAGGGTGGGATGGGCGCTGAGGCTGCTCTGCCCCCGCAGCGTTTGCCCGGCAGAGCCGCGGGGCAGCGCACCCGGCAGCTTGGCAAAGGATGGAATTCCTGCCCTGCTTACTGGGCGGAGGAGGAAGGACAGGGCTGCCCGTGCCCCACCTCCCGGCCCGGCCTATTTAACCTGGGGAATCACACCTGGAGCTTCATCTCTGCTGGGCAGCCCTGGGAGGAGACCGGGAGGGCAAGATGAGCGGCAGGTTCCCGCTGGAGGTGAAGGCTGTAGGTTTGATGCAGTGCAAAAAGCAGAAGGTACTTTCATCTTCTTCTTTTAGTATTTATTTTTTTTCTCCTTAACTATTTACAAATCAGGAAACCCGAGGGGGCTTTTTTGATTCCCCCTCACAGGGGGTTGCTGGTTCGTGTCCCCCATGGCTGGGATTGGAGCCTTGGGATGTAGGACAGGGGTCTTGGACTTGTTTGTTAATGGGCTTGATATCATAAGAAGTTGGTTATCTTGGATTCTGCTGTCTTTCTGTTCACAACATCATACATTTTAATTTTTTTTCTGGTTTTAACAATGATGACCTATTTATGGCTCTAAAATTCTGGCAATATTTGTGTAGCTCTCACATTAAATCTGATTTTTGAGTGTGACAGTTTTGCAGCCTGAAGCCAGGACTGAGCCACAAGTCCTGGCAAATGCTGATTGCTTGAACACATCCAATACTGAATATTGTAATAAAATAAAATAAAATTCAAAAATGCACTTTCCCCTTTTATTTTTCCAGAACTACATGATGTTTGTGTCTTGGTCAGATCAGAACAACATTCTCATCTACCGGACGTTTGAAAACTTTAAGAGATTCCATGTAAGTGAATATTTCCCTGAAAATAGGATTCCTGAGCTGAGGAGGGAGAAAGGAGCCCAGCTGTGTCGGGGCTGTGAAGCATCACTATTGTTTCTTCCTCCTCACTTTCAGAAAGAGCTGAAGAGAAAATTCCCCATTGAGAGTGGGTCCCTCAGGAGATCTGACCGGACAATACCCAGGTTCAAAGGTACAGAGCATGAATCTCTGATGGACCAACAACCACAACAGAGCTGTTGGGGACATCATAACTGATGACCTAGATATCATCAGTCTCTGAGTCTGACCCTCCTCTGGAGCAGATTCACAGCTCCTGGCATGGTGCTGCTGGGTTACACCAAGGGACCTGAGCCTGTCACTGCCTAAAATTAACACAGATTTAGTCTTTTTTTGGTAATAGATAATTGCATTTGGTAAATCTATATAGCACTTACTGGCCCAGAGCTCCTTGAAACATTTATGTGTGATCAAATATAAATTTTAGATACTCAAGAAGGGTATCAGGCACTATGTAACATGCAGGGAGGCACAAGCAACTGCTGCCTCAGCTGCTCACAGTTTGGGCTTGTGCAGGGAAGGGGGTAGGGGAGGACACCCCTATGTTCAGGCTAAAGATGCTGCTCTCAAGGAACCCAGATCTGCTGCAAACCAACTTTGCTCTTGTTGTTTTAAAGATGTGATTGTGAAGCAGAGGATGAGTGGGAAACTGAACAAGTACCTGGAGATACTGAAACTGCTGGAAACTTACTCCCAGGAGCTGCTGAAAACAGATGCTAAAATCTCCCAGGGTGAAGATGTGGTTCAGTTTTTCAAGGCACAGACCCAAGACCTAGACCCCTCCTTTCCTGAAAACAGGTATGAAATCATAGCTGTACTTTTTGTTTATTTGTGTCCTTATGAAACAGAAACGTCACAGAGTACAGGTGGGAGAGGAACAACTGTCACCTCCTGGGGCAGCAGAGCAGGGAGGTTTTATTGAGTGCTTTAATGTGTGATGGTGTTGTTTCTGATGCCTGAGCTCTTCTTAGCCTGCTGCACAGATGATTTCACCAAGATTAATACTAAACTCAACCTTCCATGTGAGTTTTCAGTGAAATTATGTCAATTTTCATGTTTCAGTGTTGTGATCATGCCATCAGAAATGGGAGGGGAGAAGAAAAGCCAGTCCCAGCAGCCGCTCTCCTGCATTACCCACCCCCAGGCCTCCCAGAGCTACCGCTGCATCGAGACCTTCGAAACCAAAGACACAAAGAACAAGACCTTCAAAGTCACTGAGAAGGAAATTGTGGAAGTGTTAATCAAGGACATGACTGGTACGTGTGCCAGGGGTCCTTCAGCTTCAGGGACGGGTGGTGTAGATGGATTTGTAGCCTGGCAAATGTCGAGCTGGTAACATGACAGGAATGGGTGGGTGTTTGTATGTGGCGTTTTGCTTAAGTGGATTTGCACAGGAGGAAAGAAAAAAGGGTCAGCAGCAGCCAGGCTCTGAGCTGCTCTGCAGAACATCCCTGCTGTTCCCTGTGTCAGAGCAGTCCCCATCCAGGGATTATGGTCATCTCTCTACTTGCAGACTGTTAAAAACCCTTTTCTTTTTGCTGTTTGCTGCAGGATGGTGGCTAGTGGAAAATGCAGACAAGCAGATTGCCTGGTTCCCAGCCTCATACCTGGAAGAGATTGATGCCCACAAGGATATCCCGAGTGTCCTGAGCTCAAAGGAGGAGGGTAAGTCTGCTTCTAATCCCTGGGACACCCCTTTCCTCCTTCAGAACATGAGTGCTGCAAAAACCCCAACACTTCAACCATGCTTGGGGTCCCTGCTTGGCTCTGACTCTTCTATCAGCTCTCCCACTGGCTGTGGGTCCCTGAGCAGATCTGTCACTTGCAGGGACACTTGCCCTGCAGCTCTCACTTGCTGCTGAGCTGGTCAGTCACTGGGATGGGAGTTTTTTCTCCACAAGGCAAACCCGACCCCCCTGTGTCTCTGCAGGCAGCCTGTACTTCGTGGGGCGGCCCTACGAGGCTCAGAAGGCGGATGAGCTCTCACTGAACCCGGGCATGGTGGTGGAGGTGGTCAGGAGATCTGAGGATGGCTGGTGGCTGGTCAGGTAAGGAGGCTTTTCCAAGGCTCCTGCTCCCCAAGGGAGCTGCTGCAGGTGCTTCCTGCCAGCTTCTTCTCACACGGAGTGCCAAGAGCTCCTGAGCTGCAGCCCTTGGCTTGGGATGGTTCTCCTTAGCTGAGTCCCCACCTGCTTCCCCTGGGTGCTCTGCTCCTTCCCCTTGGTCTGAGCTGGGAGAAGGGCTCTCCTCAGTGTGGCTTTTCATCCTCCCCCCCCAGGTACAACGGCCGTACAGGCTACATGCCCTCCATATGCCTCCAGCCCTACAAGAACCCTCACCACAAGCTCCAGACCATCATGACCTGCGGGCTCAACATCTCCACCCCAAACCTCTGCTCCCCCCTGGCAGCTCCCCAGCCCCGGGGTGAGGCTGTGGGGCAGGACAGGGTGCAGGCTGGCTTGTCCCTTCACCGGACAGAAGAGGATATGGGCTCTGTGAGGAGCAGATCCAGGTCTCTGCCCAGGGCCACCTCCACCCCAGACCTGGAGTCAGACAGCTCGTCCCTCAGCCTGGGGGGCAGCAGCGAGCGGGGCAGCCGGCTGAGCTGGAAGCCGGACTTGTCGAGGTCTCTGCCTGAAGTGGAGCAGCCCAGGAGCCCTCCCCTGGGCCATGCCTCAGCCACGCACAGCAGCAAAGCTCCACGTCTCAGCCACAAGGACAGGAACGACTCTGGCTTCATGGAGTCATCAGCAGCCGATTTGAGTTGCTCCCTCACTGACCCAGACTTGGCTGCTTGTCTCCCCAAGGTGCCTGTGCGCCCCTCGGCACACGAGATCCTCCAGAAGTGCAGCACTGTCACCAGGAGAGCAGTGCAGCAGTCCTCCCGGCCAGCCCTCCAGGCTCTGCTCCCTTCCCAGAGCGTGCACTAGTGTCCCCAGGGGGACAGAGACCCAGCCCTGGGCCAGCACCACAGCCCAGAGCCAGGCACCCCCCTCGAAGTCCCACAGGAGCCATGTGCAGTGTCAGGGCTTGGGACCATCACAAGGACACAGTCAGATCCTGATGGAACATGCATGCAAACATCACCTCCTGGGCAACGCCAGGAGGGGCTTTACCAGAGGTCATGGGAGAGGATTTAGTGGTTTAATTTATCAGGGGAGTCATGGCAGCTGTGGATCCAGCAGCTCCTATGAAAGTTCGAGGTCACCTGGGATCCAGTCCATTCTCCCTCAGGCAGGTATTCATCCTGCTGTGCAGCATGTGGGAATGTCACAATCCTTCTGTTATTCCCCACCCCGGGGCTGGCAGAGCTGCAGCCACCCTGGAGAACAGGATTGACACCCAGACAGAGCAAGTGACTTGGAAGTCACCCAAGAAACCCAGAGCTACAGTTACTGCTAGGGGATAGGGTTGTAAATATCACTTATCCAACCCCCCCTATTTTATATATATTTTTTAACTCTGACTTCTAGTGTGTGTTTGGGGGTTTTTAGGTTGCTTTGTGGGTTTTTTTTAAAGGTTAGATCACCTTGGGTAGTGAAGAACTGGCCATCAAATACATGAGTTGGCTGGACCTGCTGAATGGCTGCGGGAACAAAAACACCTGTGGGCTCAGAACTTGGTGTCTGACCTTTCCCTCCACGAGGTCTGTGCAGGCAGAGAAACAAGCCTGGTTGTGGTGCTGTGTGTTCCCTGCTGAGTAAGGGCCAGAACTCATCTTTATGAACAAGAACGTTCCCCTTTCAGTGGGCTCTGATAGTTACTGAAACAGCAACTCTCACCCTGAACTCATTTGCTACAACTGAGTTAGGAAAATAGCAACAGGAAAATGTAGGACCTCAGTGTAGATAAACTGCTGCCTTTGCTTTTAGTTACTCTCCCAGGTATCTCAACTGTTTTTTTGAAGCCAGCAATTTAACCAGCTTCTCAGGTGTTTGTTGTTTGGAATTCTATACATTTTTGTCTGTGAAATAAAATACATGTAAACATGTGAGACTGCTTGGTTTTACAGGCTTTAAAAATCTGTTACCTGGGGAATTAGAAGTGTGCTCATGTCACTCCCAGGTGCTGAGATCTGGGGTGAGCAGAGGTGAGAGACCCAAGCACAGAGAATACTCAATAGCCACAGTGCCCAGCTGGGCTTTGGGATGTGATACGACATTCCTGGTGGTGTCTCCCAACTCTGTAAAAAAAAAATCCCCAGTGAAGACCAATGCAGAGGCAGGTTCTACCTCATCTCCACACTAAATGCTGTTAAAGTATCTGGGCCTGAAAATGCAGGGGGTGAAAATAGAAAGGGAAACCACAGCTGGGCCAAAGAAATGGCCCCTTCTGCTCCCTCAGCCCCAAGGAGACCAAAGGCTGGGCTTGTTTTACAAATCCAAGCTGTAAAAATTTATTACAAAATACAGGAACAGTCCAGTTGCCACACCTGGTGGGGAAGCAGTTGGGACTCTCCCCTGCAGGCAGAGCAAGGGGTGGGAGGAGGGTGAGGAGGGTCAGGAGGGCACGTCCGGCGGGGCAGGGTCGTTCAGCCGCATGTGCTGCCACATGAACTCGATGAACATGGAGGCCTGGAGCAGCCGGCCCAGCCGCTGGAAGTGCCGCTCTGCAGACTTGCTTTTAGTTACTCTCCCAGGTATCTCAACTGTTTTTTTGAAGCCAGCAATTTAACCAGCTTCTCAGGTGTTTGTTGTTTGGAATTCTATACATTTTTGTCTGTGAAATAAAATACATGTAAACATGTGTGCAGACTGCTTGGTTTTACAGGCTTTAAAAATCTGTTACCTGGGGAATTAGAAGTGTGCTCATGTCACTCCCAGGTGCTGAGATCTGGGGTGAGCAGAGGTGAGAGACCCAAGCACAGAGAATACTCAATATCCACAGTGCCCAGCTGGGCTTTGGGATGTGATACGACATTCCTGGTGGTGTCTCCCAACTCTGTAAAAAAAAAATCCCCAGTGAAGACCAATGCAGAGGCAGGTTCTACCTCATCTCCACACTAAATGCTGTTAAAGTATCTGGGCCTGAAAATGCAGGGGGTGAAAATAGAAAGGGAAACCACAGCTGGGCCAAAGAAATGGCCCCTTCTGCTCCCTCAGCCCCAAGGAGACCAAAGGCTGGGCTTGTTTTACAAATCCAAGCTGTAAAAATTTATTACAAAATACAGGAACAGTCCAGTTGCCACACCTGGTGGGGAAGCAGTTGGGACTCTCCCCTGCAGGCAGAGCAAGGGGTGGGAGGAGGGTGAGGAGGGTCAGGAGGGCACGTCCGGCGGGGCAGGGTCGTTCAGCCGCATGTGCTGCCACATGAACTCGATGAACATGGAGGCCTGGAGCAGCCGGCCCAGCCGCTGGAAGTGCCGCTCTGCAGACACAGAAAGGAAGGGCTGCTGTGGCAGGAGAGCTCACCAGAACGGGGCAAACACCTCCCTCCTCTCCAGATCCAGGCAAAAGGAAATGCAGTAACTCGGGAGGAGCCCTGGGCTCCCGCCCGCGGGACCCACCGGTGTAGGGCAGCAGGGACTCCACGGCGGGTTTGATGCCCACGTACTGCAGGAGGCTGTCTGGTGCCTCGTGCTTCAGCAGGGTTTCCATCACAGCCTGGGCCTCGTGGCAGTTCCGGGAGTTGGTATTCCATGTCACCAGGAATGCTAACACGGCCTCTGGGGAGGAGGGAGGGTTGTGCAGCCCGGCTGTCCCCACGCACGCGGGACACTGAGCAGCTCAGTTCTGCACACTGGGACTGAGGAGCCAGAGGGGCAGAACCAGCCTGCACTGGAGGGGTTCTGGA